TAGTTGCGTCCAATGCCACTATACATACATACATACATACATACATACATACATACATACATACATACATACATACTATGGCAATAATTTTAACAAGATTTGTGCAAATTTCCTAAGCTGTAAATAAACTGTCTAGTGATTCCCTGCTTTTGCTTAATTCTAGAGTACCCCTTACCTAAAGAAGCCACAATCTCACATGTCTCTAACATGATTTCTCGGTACGTGGCTTTCTCACTGGGATCCAGCAGCAACCACTCTTCACTAGTGAAATATATGGCCACCTCATCAAAGGACACAGGACTCTGAAAGAGAAAGAATCCCTATGAGCAGACTCAGTCAGCGTATTTGGGGTCTCAGTTGTCAAGGTTTCAACTGACGTACCCAACCAAAGCAGCCACAGTCGAGACAATCCAATCTCTTTACTCAAAAACCTTTGAGTATATCATTTTGGCACTGATGAGGGCAAAACCAGATCTAGCCAATTCACACGCAAACCTACATAATCGAAGCATAGGATTCTCCCTCCCCTCATTAGTGCAGGTCACATTGTCCAATTGAGTCTCATTGTATCGCTATGAGAAAAAATATTTGGATTTGGCAAACACCTGCTGAATTGTCCTTGGTGCTCACACTTGTCTTCTTGATGTCTGGAGCCTAGATTCAATACTCCCCTTATCTCCTCCTGGTTCGTTAGCAATGTGAGAAGCAATAATGATTGCAACAGCAAAAGCTCGCTTCAAATCTTGACGGCAGTATGTTGTGCTGAGACCCCAAATGAAACGGAGGCCTCCCACTGCTTCCCCAAATTAGCCCCTGATCTTTTTTTTTCTACCTGATATGGAGGTCCAGCTCCTCTTTCAGCTTCACCAATGCAAGGAGATGATCCAGTGAACAATTGTGATTCCATTTCATTCCCTGGGAAGGAAAGAGATAAGCAGGAAAAAGATTAACTCCATCTCTTCTGATACGAAGTCACAAGATGGTCTAGCAGGGAGCTGTATTAGAATTTTATCCAAATTATTAAGAAAGGCCAAAGACAGGTTGCTCCCTTCCCTGTCTCTCAGGACAAAGAAAATATGTTGGGATGAAGGAATAAGAATACCACCAAAGTGATCCCCAGAAGAACCAGCCTTCTGCAAATGGGGAATCATGGGAAGGTAGTGTATGGACTGAAGGAGGGGCTTCCTTCATGGGACTTAAGCCTTCTAGCTTGAAGTAGGAGAATTAAGTATTTCTTGTTGGGTCACCTAGTAATTCTAATTAGACACAAGAGAGAAGATACACAGAATTAAGAAAATCTGGAATATCTCTCAAAAACCTCCAGTCATGCAGAATGACCATCACCTGCTGAACCATCCTGATGTTGACCTTCCTGCTTGGAGATAGCACTGCAACACCACGGATCTCCATTAACGACCATTTCCTCAGGATAATAAGTGCCCACTTCCAGGAAGGGCTTCGGAACCTGAAAAATACAGGCAAGGAAGAGGAGATAAGAACAGGATATAACTGAACCTGGATTTTAATTTTGGGCCCACAATATTGCAAGATTTGAGTATCTATTTACATATGTCGTCTGGGAGAATACAGGAACAATTCCTCTAATGGAATTCTCTAAACATTTTCTTGTATTACTAATCCCAACAATTCTCCTAGGCAGATAATTAAGAATACAAGCAGATTAAAATCCATCTCTATTTCCCAAGAGGAGCATCTCTCACCTGGCACCTTCCCTGTTCCCCCTCTTCCGCTTGGCTTAGCAGGAAACCTTCGGCCAGGGCCACTGCCTGGCAACTGGTCTCTGCTTGGCACTCCCGCACCCAGCGTTGCATGTCCCTGGGCAAGACGGCCAGAAACTGCTCCAAGATCACCCGGTCCAATATCTGAGCCTTGGTGTGTTTCTCGGGCTGCAACCATCCCCAGCAAAGGCGGTGAAGGTGGCTGCAAAGCTCTCGTGGTCCTTCAGCCTCCTGAAAAGGGCTGTTCCTGAAGCACCAATGTTGGATCTCAGAACTAAGTGTTTTGTCCAGGATGTTCTGCGGCGCTCCTGCCCAGATCTCCCCACAGTTCCCAAGATGAGCAGCAGTAGGGTTTTTTCCTACTTTCTCCCAGGCTGGCTGGTTTGCATCCATTTCCAATCTTCTCTGACAGAAATGCACAAGGGCCCTGAAATCTTCTGGGTCTCCAAAGATCTTTTCAGACCTGGGATCTGAATGAGTTGCGCAGCGAAACCAGGAGAAGTTTTTCAAGCCATTCAGTCCTCGGATGGTCCCCAACGATTACATCTTAACTGAAAAAGAAAAACCCAGGAGATTACACAGAACATTCTCATTGAGTAACTGAGCATTTAATCTAAACCAGAGCAACTGACTCTGGAGTGGGGCAAAGTTGATGTTCTATTAATTAATTTTGGTGGAGGCTACAGCTCAAAAGAACCAGGAAGAATGTGCTTGGAAAACAATTGGCTCAGCTTATCTGAAAGGCTTAAAACTAAGATTGGAAAGGAAGGATATGAATCTTTAGGACCCAACTCCAAACATAAACCTTACAATAACAAAATAGACAACAACAAAAACCAAGAAAGGAAATGGTGAGAAGGAAGGTGAACTTAGGTATAAAACACAAGTAAGGAAGGTCAGCCATAAAGCACTCAGATGCCTATACATTACTGTTCAGAGTAATGGGGAACAAATGGGGTATTCTTGAAATCCAATACACAAAAGCAGGTATCATATTGTCACCATTATGGAAACTTGGTGGGATAGAACTCATGATTGGAATTACAACTAGAAGGGTATAAATTGTTCAAAAAAACCCAGAGCCAACAAAAGAGGAGAGGAAATTGCATTGTATGTGAGGAATCACTGCATCTCTACAGAAATACACAACACCAAGGATGAAAGCATTCTTGAACACATTTTGGAGAAAGCCAGAGGAAAGAAATAACATTGTGACACACACTTTTATGAGCCAGGCATATGTTGCCGCAGCCCAAAAAAGCTAATGCAATCCTTGGTTGTATAAACAAAGGCATAGAATCAAAATAACGTGAAGTATTAGTATTGCTTACAATAGTAAGGCCCCTGCTGGAATACTGTATCCAGTTTTGGTGACCACAATAAAGTTGTTGAGCTTTGGAAAAACTGCAAAGAACAGCAACTAAGATGATTCAAGGCCTGGAGTAATAGGCAGTAACTAGCAGTACTCAGCAGTAGTAGTAACTGTGAGGTGGATCTAGGTGTTACGTGTGGATTCCCACACTTGCTGCATCTACCGAAAAAGCAAATATAATTCTAGTCTGCATCAACGGGGACAGAATCAAGATCAAAGGAAGTCCTAGCACTGCACTGCTGAGGTCTCACTTGGAATATGAAGTCCACTCCTAGTTGCCACAATGCAAGCAAAAATATGCTGGAGTTCAGATAATAGCAATTTATAAGGAGTCTGCATAAGGGGGGGGGGGGTTAATGACAACTGCCTTTCAGTGCATGAGGATAGGAGGGGGGTGGACTTATTCTCCAAAACTGTGGCTAGGACGAGAAGCAATGGATGGGAGCTGGTTAAACAGATCTTCAACCTGGAATTAAGACATTTCCTGAAAGTGAGAACCATTAATCAATGGAATAGCTTGCTTCCTGGAGTTGTGGCTACTTCAGCAATCAGCACTGGATGTTTTCAGGAAAAGACTGGATAACTATTTGTCGGAGTTGATATAAGGTCTCCTGCCATGGGCAGGGAGGGGGTTGGACTAGAAGACCTTCAAGATCCCTTTCAGATCTAGGAGTCTATTTTATTCTTAGAGATGTTTCAGCTCAGTGGCAACATCTGTCCTCTCTCCCTCAGCGCCTCCCCCCTGCCCCCCCCTTGGAGACCAAGCCAAATTTGGGGGGGGGGGTTCTGCGGAGGTGTGAAGAGAGTGAAGCCCCTTTCCCGGATTCTTTTTTCGCTACAAATCTGTGAAGCAAATATAGGAACAAGTGGCGATTTAAGCTTCCTCCCCCTCCCCCAGCAATTCTTCCTCTCCCTCCCTTCGGAGGGCGGGAGCTTTTCTACTGCACGGCCAGGAGCAAGAATGGGAGGGGGGGACTCCCCCTTCGTAACAGCCTCGAGATTCGGAGCCCAGCATACCTTTTTGGGGGAATCCGGGGGCTCCCCTCTTCACCACGGGCTCCGGGGGAGTTTGCTACCTCCCCTCCCTGCAAAAACCGGTCGAGGATGCTCTGGCGGCGGATGGGAAAGGAGCTGTTCTCCAGCCCTCCCCACGGGAAGCCCCCCTTGCCCGCTCCCCAAGATTCCGGGGGCAACTCGCTGCCGGGTCTACCCAGCCAGGCAGACGCCAGGGCATGCGCAGTGGCGCCCGGTGAGTCGGCAGCGCCCGGCCCTCTAGCGGCGAGACCGTGTGATGATTCTGAAACGCTACTCAGGCCAATGTCTGCTTGGTCCTCCCGGCTCTTTTTGAGACGGTGGCGCTTCCGATGGCTTTCATTCCGGCGGGGAGGCGTTGCAGAAAGGAAGCGTTGCACGAAAAGGTTGAATAGTTAACACCACTGTAGCTTCGCCCTCCGTTCTTCCCAGCCCAGAGAACCATCTAGTCCAACCACCGCTCACTACATCGATGTATAAAATAGAGTAGAACAGAATAATAATTTTATTGTCACTTTGAATGTATGTATATTGACTGGCATACTGTTGAAAGAAACGTCCTTCTGGGTTCGGCTCCAAGTGGGGGAAAAGACACTGGAGACACGGAGGATGCTTGGATGGTTTTAATGGTGGACAGGACCACATGGCTTGAGTCCTGAACAGAAAAGGGGATCACATTCTTCAATGTTGGTGGAGAAGAAGAGAAGGAGGGGGCTGAGATGCTGAAAGACCCTGGTTTTATGCCTTCTCTGGGCTTTGATCTTGATCTTGTATTCTGATTGGTTGTCGGACTCCCATGGGGCCATGCAGGGGCAACTCTCTAGGCATGCGTTTTGAATCCA